AGATCAAGGTGTTGCAGTGGATGTGATCTATTTGGATATTGCCAAGGAATTTGATACAGTTCCACACAATAGATTAGTGTTCAAACTCAAGGAAATCGGTCTAGATGAAAATGCTTGTTCATGGGTAGAACATTGGCTTAAAAAAAGAGTACAAAGAGTTGTCATTAATGGTAAATGTTCAAGCTGGCCACAGGGTGGCAAGTGGTGTCCCTCAGGGGTCTGTTCTGGGACCCCTTCTATTTAACATGTTTATAAATGATCTTGAAGACAGCGTTGAAAGTCATGTTTCAGTGTTTGCAGATGACACAAAACTCTGTAAAATAATACAATTACTTTGCTGCAGAGGGATTTAGATAGACTGGGGGACTGGGCACTCAAATGGCAGTTGAAATTTAATGTTGAAAAATGCAAAGTTATGCACTTCGGTGTAAAGCATACACAAGCAACGTATACCCTTAATGGAAGCGAATTAGGGATAACAACACATGGAAAGAACTTGGGAATTGTTATAGACAACAAACTATGCAACAATGTGCAATGTCAATCAGCAGTGGCCAAGGCCAGTAAGGTATTGTCATGCATGAAAAAGGGCATTCATTCTAAGGACGAGAATATCATTTTGCCTCTTTATAAATCACTGGTAAGACCACATATTGAATATGCTGTGCAATTTTGGGCACCTGTTCTAAAGAAGGATATTATGGCACTAGAAAAAGTGCAGAGGCGGGCTAAAATTTTTATATTATTATTATTATTATGATATTTATAGAGCGCCGTCAAATTCCGCAGCGCTTTACAATGGGTGGACGAACAGACATGTATTTGTAACCAGACAAGTTGGACACACAGGAACAGAGGTGTTGAGAGCCCTGCTCAATGAGCTTACATGCTAGAGGGAGTGTGGTAAAATGACACAAAAAGGTAAGGATAGTATTAGACTAATGACAAAAGGAATGGAACATATCAGCTATGAAGAAAGGTTAACAAATTTAAACCTATTTAGTTTAGAAAAACGTCGCCTGAGAGGGGATATGATAACATTATACAAATATATTCGGGGCCAATACAAACCATTGTGTAGAAATCTATTCACAAACCGGACTTTACATAGAACACGAGGTCATGAGTTTAGACTGTAAGAAAGAAGATTTCGTCTAAGGGAAAGGAAAGGTTTTTTTTACTGTAAGAACAATAAGGATGTGGAATTCTCTGCCTGAAGAAGTGGTTTTATCAGAGTCCATACAGATGTTCAAACAGCTACTAGATGCATACTTGCAAGAACAGAATATTCAAGGATATAATCTTTCAATGTAGGGTAATAACTGCTTGATCCAATGATAAATCTGACTGCCATTCTGGGGTCAAGAAGGAATTTTTTTCCTAGCTTGTTGCAAAATTGTGCTTCAAACTGGGTTTTTTGCCTTCTTTTGAAGGCTGAACTTGATGGACGCAAGTCTCTTTTCAGCTATGTAACTATGTAATAAAAAATTATATAGAGAATCTGAGCTGCGTGCCAAAGGGAATAGCAATAAACATTCTAGAAGAATCCCAATTTTCAGACTCTTTAATGAAAAGAGATGTATTATTAAAACACAAGAAGGTGAATTAATCGGAATGTAAAACACCTCTAATTATGCTACATTTTATCATAAAAACCTCAAATCCAGGGGTTCAATAAGTGGACTCCATAACACAAAATTGAGTTCCATTTACTGTATACCATTGACTAATCAGCAAGCATAGTGTAGTCATTTTCCATACGGCATAGAAACCCCAAAATCTTACACTATTTTACTATTAAAATGTATCACCTACTTAGCATATCAAAGCACACAGTGACAAATGTAAGTAGCGTTTTACTTACCATTGGAGACTTTACTTGGATTTTACTTGGGTGGTTGTTTTATTTCGCATTAAGTATTTAATATTTTTTAAAAGAAGGGATAGGTTATACACTTACTTTTTCAAGCAGTCTGACATTACACCTTTAATATTTAAATATGCAATTTTATATAACAAAACAAAAAACAAGTGGATCAGTTTATTTATTAAAAATAAATATACTTAATATATAACTCATAGCCTGCAGTAGATGTGCTAGGCTATAGAGACACTCTAAGCACCATAGCAATCAATGCTCCTGACATACATTATGATTCAAAAACGTCCCCTATATCCATTTTCTCAGTTGCTTATAACAGAAGCAATAAACATTCATCATTCCATTGATACGCCCAGACCCTTCACTCAGTTATTTCACTGTGATAGTCATGCAATGCTTTTTTTGTAGAAGTACTTGTATGGCATTTGCCTGCAAAGCAGGTGCACGTCAGTGAAACCACCACCTTCTCCAAACCAGCTCTCTTTGCACAAGCAAATATTGCAGCCACATACATACATTAGCGGTAAGGTAATAAAATCTTACACAGGAGTATTATTCATGGATTTTCATGAATTAAATCTTTGTTGAATACCAGAGTACAGATTTCATATACCACTAATGGATAGAGATTTATGGGATATAAGCAGCACTCCCATTGACAATAATATGAGCAAAAGCTGCAGAAGACTTATGTCTTTCTTCTGTCTGTACTTACACCTCTGATGCTCGCCTTCAAGACTTCTCGAAGGCTGCACCGTTCCTGTGGAACTCACTTCCCTCCTCCGTTAGATGCTCACCCAGTCTCCACTCCTTCAAAAAATCATTAGAAACCCACTTTTTCATAAAAGTATATCAATTAACCCCTTAAGGACACATGACATGTGTGACATGTCATGATTCCCTTTTATTCCAGAAGCTTGGTCCTTAAGGGGTAAACCTGTTAATAGCTCCCAACGGATTCCTCTCTTGCAACTGTCATTAGTCTAATACTATCCTTACCTTTTGTGTCACTTTACCCCACTCCCTCTAGTATGTAAGCTCATTGAGCAGGGACCTCAACCCCTCTGTTCCTGTGTGTCCAACTTGTCTGGTTACAACTACATGTCTGTTCGTCCACGCAATGTAAAGCACTGCGGAATTTGTTGGCGCTATATAAATAATAACATAATAAAAATAAAAGGATTGGCCAAAAAAAAAAACTTTAAAAAAACCTCAACATTTTTAAAATTTTCAGCAAAAACAAACATATCAAATTTGTTTATTTATATTTTGCATGCCTTTATTACATTATCTTTATATTATATAATCCTATTATTCAAGAAAAGGCTACAGATTTATTTTAAAACCATTACTATGTTCCTCTGTTTAGAAAATATTTCTGTGTTGCCCTTATGTGGTTGCAACTACTTGGATTTGACTATAAAACAAAACCATAAATATACAAGTGATCAAACATCTATGGCTTCCTCGTTTCTGTGCTATGATTATACAATTTTACATGTGCTTTGTGTAGAACCATATTAATACAAGCATTTTTTTTGCATAAAGCACTTGGAACGTGAAGTTAAAAAATGATATATATATTTTAGATGATCTTGCGGTTTGTGATTGAAATTATTAGTGCAACTGACTTTTATTTTGATCCTAATAGATTCTTGGTGGGAGGGTACAGAGGTGAAGGCAATGCTCCTACCACAAAATAAATACATACATGCAAATTTAGCTTTTTACAAATAGTGTTTCATATTTTTATTACAGTAATCAGAGAATCCTTTTGTAAAGCATTTTGTCACAGAGACAGATGTGTCAAATATTTTCTCATCAGATGTAGTTGCTAAGCTTCACGAGGTGGCAGATTCAGCAAAAGGAAGCCATGTCTCAGCAATCAAATAGCTCTACAGATGTTCTCCAAAGAGAACATTGAAAATTTAATTTTCATTAAACATCGGGACACTCTTCACATTTTTATTTTTGTATTGTTATGATAAAACACAGTGTTCCGCTTTATATTGGCATTTTATTACTCTGAGATATTAACGTTACATGCCCACATGCCCCTTCTCAAATGCCACCTAAGAGCTAACAAACTGCATGCATGTTTGTGATTTAGGGAAGATATATAGATAATATTTTAAGAAATGTCACAAAAAATCACTGAATGGGGAATAAATATGTTTAGATTGTTTTCTTACTTTCTGTAGTCAGAACAGGAATTTGAAACAGGACATGCTTTAAAAAGAGACACTATGTTGCTAGAAAAAATGGAATCTAATAGTCAAAACTGTTATACTATAACTTTAATTTTCTGTATTGTTCCCTACTATTTATTAAACCAACTGGCAGATCTGAAATGTCAGGCACTTATGTCTGGGGTAACAGTGTCATTTATGCATAGGAAACATGTATATCCTGTTTTCCATCCATATCCCTGCTTCTGTGATGCTCACTGATTTTTTTTCCTATCGTACAATTGTACTAAGAAAACACATCAGTGATGTTTCTGATTGGATACTATAACAATGGAGGCTATTTAAACTGGTGTATTAGTATTTTAGTAGTGTCTCAGTCTGTTATTGTATCATTGCCATGTTATAAGTATTTTTATATGTTGGACTCAATGTATTTGTTGGAGTAGAAAGCAGTGCATACTTCTTTTATTTTTCATGCTGTTTTTGGAGTGTAACTCAACAATTCCCAGTATAAATGCTTTTTTCTCTCCTGTTTTCTTTTCTCATCTGTACCAAAAATAAAGTGAACAGTGCACTCGGTAAATAGGATTACTTCCACCGGGTGCTCTGGACAGGGAGGGCAAATTCTCTAAGGCCTTGACGAAGGCTCATGCAAGTGCCAAAATGTTGTCATCACATTTTGTTCCAAAATAAAGACAGCCTCTAGAAGAGATCATCAGGTGTGCCTGGACATTTGTGTATATTTCTCATTTTTTTAAAGACCGCTCCTGTCTTATTTCTACAATTTCACAACAATCTCTTTTCGCATATAATGTTAGTAATTTTTTATCTCAGTTTAGGTTGTTTTTTTTTAATGCTGATGATGTTGTTGTGTGAATGTGGTGTATGTGGTGTGAATGCTGTATGTGTTGTGTGGATGTAATGTGAATGTTTTATGCAGTGTGAGGATGTAATGTGAATGCTGTGTTTATATGATGCCATTCTTACAGGAAAATTTGGGGGCAATCTTTGTTGTTGATGATGATGTCATGATTCCTGGTTGTAATGGTATATTTTGTAATGATTGGAGGACACAATTACTTGAATATTAAATGAAAATACGTTTCTTTAGAGTATTTGGTAAAGACGGTTTAGAGACTATATTAGAGCTCATAACAATCCTTGGTGAAGATTAAACTTAAAGAGTTATTCCAAGCAACATGACCACTTTATAGATTTGACCTCTCTGTTGCTGGAGGTGTAGCTCCACCTCCATCAGTGACATTGGGGTGTCATTAGAAAGCCACGAACTCTAGATCTGTCCTGGCTAATATCAATTCTGTGCAACTTCCATTGTGCAGAGAGTCAGTCATTGACTGAGAGTGTTCACCTAATGCTCCCAATTAATTAATGTGATGACTGCTGTGGCTCTGGTGAAACCGGAAATGCATCACCAGACCACCAGGGAGCATCAGAGCATGGCATTGATCCAGGTAAGAAGGCAAACTATTGTTAAACGGTTTGCCCCGTTACCTGGGAACTGAGTCAGGGTACTTCTGGTATCATAACATCTACAGCAGGCTGAGGTGGTTATGATGCTTGGATGAACTCTTGTTTTAGCAGTTGTATCAAAATGCCTTTTGTCACTGGATTTCTAGGTGACAAGCTGCCCTTTGCCCCTGGCTGTTGGGGGAGCCTGATTGCCAGCCTCCTTCCTCATGACTATGGCCCCGGGGAGATTTTGCTAATACTATGGGGAAGGATTGGTACTTTTTATATGGCACTTCGGGTAGTCGAAGTGGCCGCCATTCGACAAATGAACACGTGGCGGCAGCCATTTTAATTTAGTCGAACGCAGTCAGCGGTGTGTGCCCCCGAATCCATGGAACTAAAATTGGCTACACATTTGCACGAACACCGCTGACCCTGACCTTCTCCTCCACTTTCAATGCTTCGGATAGAGTCGAAGTGCGTTCGACAATTCGAACGCCATGTTACACTGTGCTATTTGCACGAACAGGGCCCGTTCGTGAATTCAAATGGGACTTAGTCATTTTTTTCTATGTGAACTGACTTTAACACTGAAAATAGACCGGCTGCACAGCCAAACTCTGTGGAACGGTTTTGGGCAGGAAATCCTTTATGTCGGTCAAAAGAGGCTTCCCCAAAACTTTAACCTCATGGCAAATTTACTTTGTTCGTGGGATCTGAGCACTGTTCATCTATATTGGGCGCTCAGATCCGAGCTATCTGGGGATAGGTTAAATGTGGGGGTTCTGTGTAATATAATAAGAATTGTGTATTTTTATGTTCTTTTACGTATTTGTGCTGTTAGAGTAAAATGTAGATATTTTCTGTACCTGTAGATAATTGAGTTTACTGCAGTGCCTTAAGCCAATTATCTCCAGGATGGAGAGGAGGGATTTTATTGTGTATGTGGGAGTGTTATTATGTTAATTTGTGTTTGTGTACCTTTTGTCACAGTCTACCACCAGGTCCAGGGGGTGTGCCTCTGGCCTGAAAACTTGTATATAAGGAGTAATAAATGCTCAATGGAGTCAGATCATCTTGTGCCTTCATGAAGTTTGGGGGATTGGAGAACTATACTCTGGGGATTGCTATAATCACTATACTCCCCAGGGTATAACCACTAAGCTCTGCTAAAAGCTTGTTCCTGTTCCTGCTCTCTGGAATTCGGAGAGGTTGACCTACTGGAAGCTGATCTTGGGTCCAGAGTGGGTGGAGACGGCGAGACCCCAACCAAGCTGCGGCGGTTCATGGGAGTCTACAGTGGTTATGGTGTCTGGCGGAGTGCTTGGAGTCCTCCGGAAGCACTAGGAGCATCCATCAACGGAAGGTACCTGGTACAAATAAAACAAATACATAACAGTTCCAAAGATGACCAAGGATTCATAAATGTAGCTAAAGGAAGCTGTTAACGATAATGCAATTGCAGTTCGAGATGATCCATTAGAGTAGTCAAGAATGGTGAGCCAAGGTCGGAAGCTAGTAATGTGGAGAATTACAAGGCTGATCCATGAGCATAGTCAGCAGACAGCGTGGAGGTCAGACGTCAACAATATAGAATCAGGTCACTTGGTGCTTACACGGAGTAATGCTGGAAAGCAACGTGGTTAACTGACCAGCACAACTCAATTATTGAACAATGAGTTCACAGAGCAAATGGATAGTTAATCACAATAATCTGAAACAATAAATTTAGACACAATAAAGCCGTGTGACATAATTCATTAAGGACTACTGAGCAGTTAACCCTTATATGGGAGACATTCTAACAAATGAAGATAAAAAAAATCCTCACACACACAATATGCCACATACTTTGATTGTGCCAGAGGAGTTTAAATGTTTTGGACTGTAAATAACTCTATGATCCTTGTCTTTAAATGTTTAAACTTTAAAACAATAGATGCTAATCTTTAAAGGGATACCATAGGCACCCAGACCACTTCAGCTTATTGAATTGGTCTGGGTGCTCTCTCCCTATCCCCTTTAGTCCTGCAATGTAAATCATTGGAGTTTCTGAAAAACTGCAATAAATGCATTGCAGAACTAAGCCTGCCTCTGCTTGCTAGGCAACTTTTGGTTTCCTAACTGACGTTTGTTATCTCTCTTATGCTCTGCATGAGGACATCCAGCATCAGCTAAATCCCCAAAGTAAAGCATTGAAGCAATGCTTTCCTGTGCGGATGGCCCAATGCACTCGCGGCACTTGGCGCTCATGTGCATTAGCCTGCCCCCCCAATCGGATTACATCGGAGGAGGTGGAGTATCGACCCAAAGCCAAGGGAGATCAGCGCTGGAATTGGATAAGTAAACAAAAGTTTTTTGACTCTTTACATGCTGGGAGGGGGGGAAGAGATAAAGGTAGCTATAGTGTAAGCCATGCATGTCAAACTCGCAGCCCACAACTTTTTACCTTTGGGAGAGTTGTGTGGATTTCTTACCTGGGGTCAAGAGCGGCTGCTGGGTAAGCGGGCGTGCAGGCTTGGGGCGGACAGGCGGCAAGGGAGTGCTGAGTGGGGACTGGGATTTAGTAGACAAGGGGGGACTAAGATTTAGTAGATGGGGGAGACTGTGATTTAGTAGACAAAGGAAGGCTAGGATTTAGTAGACGGGGGGACTGGGATTTAGTAAATGAGGGGGGACTGGGATCTAGTAGACGAGGGGGGGAGTGGGATTTAGTAGACGAGGGGGGCTGCGTTTTAGTAGACGAGGGGGGGCTGTGGATTAGTAGTCATGGGTCAGGGGGTTTAGTAGAGGGGGTCACTGTTTTTTTTTTTATACTTTACTTTTCAAAATAAACCCATGTTTCTATGAAAATTTAAGTTTTTGTTTTTTTGTGGCCCACATAAACTTAAACCTTGTTTAATTGGCCCTTGCTAGCCTTTGAGTTTGACATGCATGGTGTAAGCAATACAACTTTGTATTCCTTTCACGATAGAATCCCTTTATTCTAATATAGGAATCTTGAGAAACATACACATGTAAATTTCTACAAATCAACAAAACAGGTTTGGCGTTACACTCTACACATTGTTGTATGTTCATAATGTATGTTTCTGCAATCACAGGAAAATGGGTGTTGGTTTGCATGTTTTTGAAACATTTAAATGAAATATTTGCATAGAAAAGTCTTTACCAAGAAAATCTATATGACTGTTTTGCCAATTTTATTAAGTGAAAGGGAAGATAGTGCGGAAGCAATGTTTAAGCAATAAAACACTCCCAAAATTGTAAGCATGAGGTAGTATTTTGTACATCAAACATCACATTCTTTTAGTATGGATAATAGTCCAAAATGGAAAAATAATGGATTTCCATTTTCTTGTTTTGTTCTGTTTTATGTGTGAAAGATTTGATTATTTCACCTCTATTATAAATCATTATTTAACAAACTCTAAAACAGAAAATAGCACTTGGCTTATTGCCTCTACGAGCAATGATTTAAATCATTATTTATTAAACTATAAAACTACAGAAATTGCAATAAAAATACTGAAACGAAAAAAGAAAACGTAAGGATTAAAAAAAATCAAACACATGAAACATATTTTAAAAACCTAATATTGCTTTTGAGCAGAAATTGAAACTTATCCTGTCTGATGTACAAATATGTAAATATAACAAACAGAGCTAGAGCTTTCAAATAAATAGCTTGGGGATAGAAAATGTTGAAAAAATATGAAAATGATAAGGAATGTCCTTCTTGCTTAAAGAATAATCTTATCACACCATTTGCTTGTATCCTTTGGATATGGGTGATTACATTTTAGTTGTTTCTTTTTCTTTTTTTTTTTTTATAAAGAGAGTGTACACTAACTGAAACAAAAAAAGTGAGCTTAGATGGTTTTGTCAAGGAGTTTTTGCAGAAATGTATTGTAGTCAGTAGTTTAATGATCATCGCAAACCGAATAGATTTTCTACAGTCCGCTATAGATGATATGATGCCTAGAGTAGCCTGGCACCATTTTTCAACTATTTCTCCTCTAACCAGGTTCCCTGATAAGCGCCAAGGTTTCCTATGGCCACTGACAAACATCTGGCTTCTGCAGAGCTGCAGAATTCGGACACTGATCCCGGCTGCCATTCGTTGGCTGAGAGTGTTGTTGATTGCTATCATCCAATAAATGCAACACTGTGCATAAAACATATGCACAGAATTTACAAGGGCTAGCTGGCTAATGATGCCCCAGTGTGGCTGCCAGAGGTGGATTTACAGCAGCAGAGGGGTTAAAATCTGAATGCACAGCGTTTTATAGCAAAACGTTGCACGTATAGAGTCTAGGCATCATGACCACTTTAAATCACTTTAATAATTGCCAGACGAGTTTTATAACATTCTGGAGCTTTGTATATCTCCCTAAACTGAATAAAAACACATTATTATTGAAATATATTCAATGTTCTTAGCCTGAAAATTATAGCTTTAGCCTAAAATTTAAAGAAAGAAAGCTGCAAGAAAAATTACTGACACCCTCCTTAAAATTTTATTTTTCAATAATATTGTTAGTTAGGGTCAAACCAACCTAATATATGTATATGGATACAGTTGATATTCTGAAAAAACCCAGTAGTAAACATAACATAGTGTAATATTGTTTAACAGTGTAATAATCACGCAATGATAAGTT